AGGTAACCACGGACGTTACTGTATCGCCAGCCTGACCAACTATTTATATGTTAGACTCCTTTCTCGCTGATAGAGAGACATAACACTTTTGTTCAGATGAATAAAGATATATCTACGTCAGGCCCCGCCGATTTGATGTTTGGGGTTTTCTTAATTATAAGCAACTGAGGCTAACGCGAAAATTTAGCCACATACACTGTTCTCAGACCTTCTCGAGCACTTCCGCGCGCACTCTCCATCTATCTCGTGTGGTTCTCTAGTACCTCCCCATGCCTTTCTTTGGCCCTTTGGGGGGGTTCTTAACTCATTCTCGGTGGGTGTTCTACAGACGTTTAATCCTTTCCTCGGTCATATCTGTGTCAACATGAATAATGGTCATATTTTTTGCAAATTAATAGCAATGGTGCACGAATTCTGTGCATTCTCTTCTTTCCCGCTTCCATTTACCTGTGTTTTCTACTTCATTTTCTTTGGTCGGCGCAATACCTCAACCTAACTTACGCCTCTTCCCTCCAACTTTGTAAGGTGTTGTTTGGATATAGGTTTTTTGTGATTTTATTTTATTTATTTTTTGTCTTTTGTGACATTTTTTTATCTGTTTGTTAAAAAAAATTATAATTTATATTATTCCCAACTAGACAAATATAAAAAATGAAAAATTGGAAAAAAAAATTGTTTGATTAATTCACCCACCAAAAAACATATCACTACATATTTAATAAATTTTTTTAACTACACATAAAAATAAAAAATGTCTTTTAATATCTTTTTATTCCAATAAAATGTTCTTCATTTAATGTCTTTTTATTTTACAATGTCTTTTAATGTCAGTTAATGTCTTTTTTTACATTGTAAGTACAAAATACTCAAAAATGTTTCTTAAAACAACATGAAATAAATGATATTGCAAAAAGACTAACAAATCAATCAAAAAATAAATGATATTGCAAAAAATAAAGACTAACATTTATCCCGTAATTATTCATCAGGAGGTAAGAGGAAATAAAAATTTGGGCTGCTCACATTTGAGGACCACTTGGCGAAAATCTCATTTTTTCGCATTGTGTAATACGCTTTCATCTGAGGGTCCAAATGAGAAATGTCCGCAGTCTTTTTTGCAATATCATTTATTTTTTGATGTAATTGTTAGTCTTTTTTGCAATATCATTTATTTTTTGATGTAATTGTTAGTCTTTTTTGCAATATCATTTATTTTTTGATGTAATTGTTAGTCTTTTTTGCAATATCATTTATTTTTTGATGTAATTGTTAGTCTTTTTTGCAATATCATTTATTTTTTGATGTAATTGTTAGTCTTTTTTGCAATATCATTTATTTCATGTTGTTTTAAGAAACATTTTTGAGTATTTTGTACTTCACAATGTAAAAAAAGACATTAACTGACATTAAAAGACATTGTAAAATAAAAAGACATTAAATGAAGAACATTTTATTGGAATAAAAAGATATTAAAAGACATTTTTTATTTTTTATGTGTAGTTAAAAAAATTTATTAAATATGTAGTGATATGTTTTTTGGTGGGGTGAATTAATCAAACAATTTTTTTTTTCCATTTTTTCATTTTTTATATTTGTCTAGTTGGGAATAATATAAATATATAATTTTTTTTAACAAACAGATAAAAAAATGTCACAAAAGACAAAAAATAAATAAAAATAAAATCACAAAAAACCTATATCCAAACAACACCTACAAAGTTGGAGGGAAAGTTGGTTGAGATTTGCCAAAAATAACAAATAACCATTGGAGCACCATTGCTATAATTTGGCAAAATAACACTATTCATTGCCAAATTATAGCAATAGCAACCCCAATATAGCAACAACCATTGGAGATGCTCTAAGGTTGGCTTATGTAATTTTCTTCTATTCTTTTTCAACCACTCATCTGACTTAATTTTTGCTCTACAATTGCTTTCTTGGCAAAGGAATCTTTAATTTACATGTCAATACCGCTCTTACCTTTGTGGTTAAATTTTTTGCAACAATAACACACTTAGTTAAAGCTCCCTTTTCCTAGACCTATATCCCTAACCGGAGATATCTAGTACGGATTCTATCTCATTGCTCTTGATTTTACAGTGTCGACTTTATCCCTTCTGTATAAGTTAGCGAAAAAGAAGAACCTTAATCTCCTTTTGTTTTCTGCTTCAAATCATTTCCGTTCCAAAATAAATGAGTAAAGATGATACGATCCTCCTCCATCAAGGGAAGTTTGTAAAATTTGTTAGTTTGTGTAGGCATTACTCTTCAAGTATATTTTTAGTGCTTTCCTATGACTAGGACCTAATTATGTTTACAAAGGATAATTGACTCTTTTAAAACTAACATATTTTTGTTTGTGTTCTTTTGCTTTCCCCCTGACCTTTATAAGAAACAAATTCAGTAAAAGGCAGAGAAAGGAAACAACCCAAGTGTGCTTGAAGTGTACTAGGGGGATGGGGATAAACGAAAGTCATGCCTGTGCTTGAATGAAAGTTGTTTACTTGTTGCATTAGTCGCAGGTAGGTCCAACCTATGCTTGAATGAAAGTTTTAAGCTATGTTATGCAAGATAGTAGCCAACATGGTACTGATAAAAGTGCTGAAAATTTAATTGTTCAAAACAAGGCTTCTATAATAGTGAGCTCTTAAACCTCAACCTTATTAGTTTGTTTTCTTCTTGGCTTCCCAGGATTTCACCTAAGCTGAAACCTGTAGAGATTGCACATTCTACACTTCCATATCTTTAGGATTAGGTTGTTTTGGAAGCTCTATTGAGTGGCCTAAGGTAATACTGCGAAGCCTTTAAATTTGGACACCAAATCAAATGTTCCCTTTATAAAATAGTATCAGTAATATCAATAAAAACATAAATTGCTTACCTTAAATTCTGCACCTGTCTTTTCCTTTAAGAAATTCTTCCATTCATGCATTGATTTGATGTTGTCAGGTTGCTGTTTAAGCCTTTCTTCTTCATCAGGTGTCTTTCTTCTTCATTGGCCTCACGTGACAAATCATATAGAAATGCCCAAGCAATAAAAACCTATAAATGCCATCATCTCCCAAAAAGCTTCAAAGAAAAAGAGAGAAAAACATGAAAGAAATATTGAGAGAGTGATTGAAAGAGCTAATACACTCTGTGATTCAATTGTGTATTAAACATGAAGAGAAGGCTCCATTATATAGGAGAGCTAATACAACATCATTATGATACAACATTATGAAAGAAAACATATAAAAATAAAAGTAGCCGAAAGTTGAAGGCACTACCTAAAGCACTACAATAAATCATCTGATGGAGAAGCACTAACTATTAAATATATATTAATGATATAAGCATGCTTGGTATTATTATATTAACAAATAGCTTGCTTGATTTCCAATAAAACATAATACTCTGCATTCATGATATTTGAATTCCTTATTTCAAAGCACCAATGCTCAAACAAGTTACAAATGTGATCTAATGTTTGAAGGAGATTTTTTTTTCCCCAAATTGTTCTAGTGTTGATATATTCTACAAGCCTTAAATATCATCCTATATCATATATACCTGTTCAACCAATAAAATAATCACATTATTAATTGATCCGTAAAAAATTCATCTAGGATACATCCAACGTAATGAATTCTTTTTTTTTTGTCATTTCAATATAATGTTATTACCGTTATCAGCAGTAAAAATTTATATGATCCAGATTGCCACATATCAAAAGTGTATTCACATTTTAATTTTTAGACTAAAAAATATAATTTAATTTGAAAGGAAGCTAACCCAGTTTCACAAAGTTTTAATTTCCTCAAATGATCAAGTTTAATGATAATTAAGTTATAGTGCTACTGTTCATACAAAGAAAGAATTTGTGACAATGTTTAAGTAAATAATTTGATTATTGTTACGTGACTATAAATAACCAGATGTGGTTCTATTTTTTTAATATTTATTTTGGTTGGCATGATTACTCCTTGCAATTCACATTGTCAAATTTTTGCAATCATGGGTGCAATTGTTGACAATAGAGTGTGGGATTCGCAGTTTTAGATCAATAAAATTTTGTGTTTTGTTCACATAATCACAAAGTATGTCAGAAATGATTTGTATTTTCCGTTTAATGATTATGGTTTGGTGGACTTCTTGTCACCCTTGCACCTTTTGTGTATCTCTTTCTTTTCTTTTGTGATAATCTTCTCTTTGTCATTGATAATATATATATATATATATATATATAATTGTATAAATATCAAATTTGCATGAATGCATTTATAGTTTCTTAAGACTTTCTCAATGACAGATACAAATGTGGAAAGAAGGGTTCAGTTTATGGAAAAATCAATTAGTTTCCTTATGTTCCAAAAAGGAAGAGTTTGTTGTAAACATTTTGTTAATCACTGTATTGTTGCTATTGACAATATTCTCACTTTTGAATTACAGGTTTAAGTTTTTGCCTCTATTTATATATATATATATATATATATATTTTTATATTTAAAGTTTTTGAGTTGACAAATTTCCTCTTAAAATATTTGTAGCTTCCAGAAAAAACAATTCAAGTTAGGTCTTCAATGATAAAGGTTGAGGCGGATTCAAGACTCTCAAATGTGCAAACTTTTAACTCATTGGAGATAGTTGGAATTAGGTATGTATTTTTTAAAAAATTTGACTTTGTACTGTGGTCATATATAATCACTATGTCATGTACTAGTGGCACTTGATATAATTATTTGTTTTTATCATGATAGAGATAGGACATCCATGTACTAGTGGCACTTGATTGCACTTCTTAGCTATGGAGGGGTCCCTAAAGAATACTTTTTGGATATACTGACAAATACTTTGGAAGATGCTCAGTGTGTTTGCTCCAATAAGCGTGCCACATTAATTTTTCTTTTCCTTATTTCATGGCTCCCTTCTACATCTCCAGAATGTGATCCACTCCAATCCATTTTGTATAATTTGGCTCCTTTTGTTCTTGTGTTTTGGTTTCTCTCTTTCCCATAATGGCTAATTCATTTGAGGTGTCAATGCAAGAGGCAAGTGGTCCAGAGATCTGGGAAGATACAAGAGGCAAGGTGGACATTTTTATTGCAGGGATCGGCACTGGTGGAACAATTTCTGGGGTTGGTTGGTTCCTTAAACAGCAAAATCCTAGCATAAAGGTAAGTGTTTTTTGCTTTTAAATTAGTCAAATCAAACCTAGTTATGAAATTTGTTCCATATTCATTACATATGACATTCTTAGTACCCATGAGATGGAGGGAAAACTGAGTTTGCAACTCTTTTGCAAACGTTTGAGGGTCCTGGATGACATGGAAAATGTTTTCAACCATTTCTACTTGTGCTTTTTTCCATTTTGTCATTCTCTTCATATTGTATCAGGTTATTGGTTTGGAACCGTTAGAAAGCAACATACTCTCTGGTGGGAAGCCTGGTGAGATAGCAGATAAAATTTTTACTTGATTTTATTTCAAAACAATGTTATTGGATCTTGTTTCAAAATAATGTAATTGGATCTTGTTTTGGTTGTTGCCATTTTGAAATGCAGGTCCTCACAAAATTCAAGGAATCCGAACAGGTTTTATACCCAGAAATTTGGATCAAGCTATAGTTGATGAAATCATAGCGGTCATTGTCTTATCTTACCATTACATATTGTTTCGGTCGGTGTCTTATCTTACCATTACACATTGTTTCTTTTGGTCGGATCATATATATTTTATTATGCTATTGAGGTAAACAATGCTCTATAATTAACTTAATATTTGTGAACAGATTAATTATGGGATTTTACTTCTAGTGTTTTTGTCTATTCTGATTGATTCATTCATGTGCTTTTCTTTTACAATGTTTCACTCGTATTGGCAACATGGAATATGAGGTAGATTTCAGGGTCTAAATCCCATTCTCTATTAAAAAGGAATTCATTTTGGCAGCATAGTAATAGCAAAAGCAATTCCAGTGATGAGCTTAAAAACTTGTTTGTGGCACACGTCTGTAAGATTAAAGACTTGGCTGTTTGGTTGAGTTTTCGAAATTTGTTTTGAAAAATTAAAAACTAGTTGATAAAAATAAACGCCTAAAAAAATGTTTTTGAAATTTCTAAAATTATTTTTCACCTCAAAAAGAGAAAACCATATGAAAATAATTAGTCCCCCCCCCCCCAAAAAAAAAAAAAACTAGTTTTTGAGATTTTGTAGAAAACAAATTCTGAAACTCAACCAAACAGAAGATGTTGACTTCTGTGGCACATATGTGGCCAACATTTTGTTTGGATATTTGTGTTTCCAAACTCAATGTAGCAGCATTTTATGGAAGTTGATCTATGCACAAATGGCAGCCTTTTCTGACCAATAAACTCGATATCCTTTGGGATAAATTCTGGTGCATAATTTGCACCAGGGGAACAACTACAACATATTAGTGTAAGAATTTGGCTTTCATGCATTTTGCAGAGTGATGCATTGGTAACATGTATGATGCATTGTCCGCTTATACAAAATATTTCCTATGGTCATAAGCAGAAATGTTGATTTGTTCTTTGCTTTTCTATTGTTGTAGTAACAATAGGCCTAATAAAATTGTTTTCTACTCTTGTTTTTGGCTGGTTGGCCATTGTGAACGGAATGGAGTGAGGAATGGAGTGAGGTAGTCACTCTTTTCGGGAATATGAATTTGCTTGTCTATGTATGAATATCCCACAATCTTGTTCAAATTCTTTTCTATATTTGTCATACTTGTATTAGGTTGCCATGTTTTTCTGTTTACCGTGTGTTGTTTATCGTGGTATGCTAATTCTTTCAAATATCCAGTGACGAAGCTGTGGAAACTGCAAAGTAGCTGGCACTCCAAGAGGGCTTGTTGGTTAGTATTTCTTGTTAATTTTTAAACCATTACTATAATTTGAGAGGAAACGTTAGATCAGAGATGTTTTCTTCTTCTGTTTTCAATATCTTTGTGTCTTAAAAGGGAAAAAAAATTTTGAAGACTAATTCAATATTGAAAACTGGATGTCTGAAAGAAAACTATGGGTCAATTGAAGACTAAGGATCAATTCATTTTGTCAACCTTTCATGAAATATTGTTAACCTTTCACATGAATTAGTCTTCATATTGTCAACCTTTCATGAAAAACTAGTTTTCATATTGAATTGATCGAACCTTTCATGTGAATTGAGGAAGATAGGAGTTATTGACAATATGGATCAATTTCAGTTGCCATGTTGGTTTCTGCTGTGTGGCATTATATTGGATCTGGAATGGTGGCTGATCCAATTTATTCTATAGACATAAGAATGCTATTGTTTTATTTACAATTTGATAATGATAGTAATTTAATTTGCTAATGTGACCTTTGCTTTTCATGGACATTTTTCATTATTTGTCCAATTTTACCTGACATTATTTCTCTTTTTTTTTTTTGTACAGATGGATGAACTCGTGCACAAAGCTAAATTGCACAGGACAAATTGGCACTTTTTGCATTTTTGGAAGGATTATATATTTTTGTATAGATGTATATGGAAAATATTAGGGTAGACTAGTAGTTATATTTTTGGATATACTAGTAGTTATATTTTTGGATGGGTGCGTATAGAAAATATTTGGTAGACTACTAGTTATATTTTTTGGTTGATGTACATGGATAAAAATTTAAAACATAATAACAAGTACTTGTTATGTTTTAAATTTTTATGCTAGATAAAATATGTAGTTTGGAATTATTTGTGGATGAAAACTTATAATAGTTGCTGACTTTAATTAAACAGGTTTAGAAATGATTGATACATGTATTTTGTTGAATGTTCATGATTCAATTTATTTGTTGGTTTGAATGATTTTTGCAAATTACAGATTATATTGAATATTATAAATTATAGGTTTATTTTGTTGGATGTTGGCGACCAAAATTTGGTTTTGTTTTTTTAGTTTTGGCGACCAATTGATTAGTCGGGAAAGATAAGTTATACTTTTGCCAACTAAATAAAGTAGTCGGTGTATCACCAAGCACATTTGGCGACTAAATAATTAGTCATTAAAATTATTAATTTTGGCAACCAAAGGATTTGGTCGCGAATAGGTCTATTGTTGATTAAAGTTTTAGTTGCGCAAACATTTGTTTTGGCGACAAACTTGTTTGGTCGTGGAATGTGACAATTGGCGATCAAATTCAGAGGTCGTAGAATGTCACAATTGATGACCAAATTTTTTGGTTGTTGAATGTGATAATTGGCGACCAAATTTTTTGGTTGTGGAGTGTGACAATTGGCGACTAAGATATATGGTCGGCAAAATATCACTTTTTGCGATCAAAATGTTTAGCGACAAAATGGATTAGTCACAGTAATGATATATTTAGCGATTAAAAATTTAGTTGGCAAATCCAACTTTTCTCGACCAACCAAAATTTTGGTTGCGAATTACTTTTGCTGACCCTCAATTAGCGACCAAAGTAGCGACCAAAAAAATTGGTCGCGGATGACTTTTGCTGACTAAAAATGGGCTTTTAGCGACCAATTTTTTGGTCGGCAAAAGTGTTAATTCTTGTAGTGTCTTCGAAAGAAAAATTCAACAATTCACAAACAATCAAACCCTAGAAAACAATAGAAATTTAAACTCAATTGTAATGTGAAGCAAATCTGGGGGTTTGAAGATGGAGGGGACAGAGAGCGGTAGAGAGAGAGTAGATTTAGAGAGTTGAAGGTGAGTGAGAGAAAGATAGAGACGAGGGAAAAAAGGGGTTTGAAGAGAAAGAGAGAGGGTTTGAAGAAATGGCCAACAGATAGTCCACACGACAATTTCAACACATCCGTGTAGCATAGAATATTTTGGTCATTTTACATAAAGTTATCCTTAGAATATAATATTTTAGCTTCTAGATTTTGAACCAAAAAAAAATTTAAATTTGAATTTATCACTTTGGTGCCCAATTATACATTAGTGGCTAGGTAATAAATAAATAAATAAAAAATAGTCATAAAATTTGAACTTTTCACGTTAAATAGGTTAAGGGTAAATTACACTATCACCCTGGACTGGCGGTAGAAACTACCAAGCTAGAGTATGGTAGGAGCAGAGGAAATTTTCGGTGAAGCGGTGTTTGGTCCAACTACATCCCACCCTCTAATGTTCTGGAAATTACATTTCTACCTCTGTGGTTAATAGTTTCATTTTCAAAAACCCGGTGCTTATATAAAAGGTAACAACTTCTAGTAGAAAAATAGAGAAAATTATATATAAAGAAAAAAAAGAAGTGAAGCATAGCAAGAAAACAAAAAGTGTATGAGTTCAATATTTTCATTTCGTCTAAATAATTACAATAATAGGGTGGTTAGTGTAATTTTCTAAATATCAGGAGATGATATGTATTAGGGTAAATTACACTGACACCCCCTGAGGTTTATTTTTATTACAGTTTCCCCCCTCACCTTTTGGAAATTACATCTCCCTCGCTGAGGTTTAAAGTTTCATTATAGATTCTCCTCTCAGCAATTTAATTTTTTTAAATACCAATTTTGCCCTCACTGGGTAAATTACATTGACACCCTTCATATTTTAGAAATTACAATCCTCTCCCTAAGGTTTTAAGTAGCATTACCAATTGCCCCCTCGGTTAGTATTAGTTGGAAAAAAAATTCATTGAAAAAAAAAATTAACTGGAAAAAAATTAATTGAAAAAAAATTTTGTTAGTAAAATTTTTAAATTTCTGTTTAAAAATCAACGTAAACTCATTTTTTGAATTTACGCTTTTTTCTCAAATTTACAAACTAAGACAACAATTTATAAACCAAAAAAATTATCAAACAAATTTTATGACAGTTTTTAAAAATTTTTTAAATATAAATTGAAAATTGAAAACGAAATGGTTATTAAACAGGCCTCAGATAGTAAAAATGTCGTAAAATTAACAAATAATTAAATAAGTTACCAACGTAAGAAATGACTTATCAAAAGATTCTTAGCTTATGTATGGTTTGATTTTTAAATTTTTTTTAAAAAATTAATTTGGTTAAGAAATAAAACATAATTATCATTTAAGGATAAAAAATAATTATTATTTTAACTTTTGGGCAGGTTATATACATACGTATGGTTGTTCAATTTAATTTGTAAAAAATTATTTCTAACTACTCGAAGGATAAAAATTATATAAAAATGATAATTATTTTTTATTTCTTCACCAAATTAATTTAAACTATTGCCACCCGCAATCGACCATGACCTTATTTGAAACCGTCCGTTTTTTGTCATGGCGGGTCAGTTTGAACGGGTGAATCTGGTATTTGAACAGCCCTGTCATTAAGTGCCACTAAATTAGGCAAATTTAAAAAGGACAAGAAAAAAAATTTAACAAAACCACCAAAGATTTTAAAAATAAAAATAAAAAGTTTTGCTAATAATAAGTTGTCAATAAGAAATACAAAATGACAAATCATATACCAATATCATATAAATAGTGTTTTTCATTAGCATATCGTTAGCAAAAATCTGGTTTGGATCAAATTGACAAGGTTGATTCAATAGAAAAATCAAAATTTCACAAACAACAAACAAATCAAGCAATTATGGTTGGTATCCTATGCATTAACAGATTCAAAGACTTCTTTAGAGGTTGTAATGTGAACAAACAAAATACAAACTGTTACGTTTTTGTAATTGGCAATTCCGTTTGACAAAACTCCTGTCAGTTGTAATTTTATTCGCTCTTATGTTTCAATGAGGATATGAGTGTTTAGATGCGAATCCAACCCAAATTGTGCCTATGTAGAGGAGTTTGTGATCTTGAAGCTTTCATGTTT